AAAAAAAAAAAAAAAAGAGAGCACATCCCCTCACGCGTTGTTAGAAGCAACTCTTTTAAAATGTCAACTTTCAATATATGAAAATATTCCCTTTCCTACATGCAATTCCCTTTCGAAAGTGCAACTTGTTCGCACATCGTTTAAAGCTCTTGAATTTGTTAAATGACTTGATACCTAAAAAAAAAGGAAGATGCGGATAAACACAAACAAGAACTCTAATTAGATTGTGTTTGGTAAACCTAGTTTCGAGCTTATAGGTGATAGTTTATGATTTATGGTGTTAATTTATATAATAAAAGTGTTTGGTAAAATTAGTTGATAAAATAACTGAAATAAAATTTCAAATGAACTCATTTGAAAAGTTTACCAAAGAAGCTTGTGAGATAAGCTCGAACTCTCCCTAAAACTGAATTTATTTAAATACAGAAAGCTTATAAGTTAATCAAATAAGTTATAAGCAACTTATATGTTTACCAAAACATCATTAGAAACCTCGAACATAACATATCAAGCCAAACCAAAACCAGTGAACAAATACTACAAAACCCACGAAAACTAGAAGTCTTTCATTATCTATCCACCTTCTTCTTTCATATAGTTCTGTCACCTGCTATATCAAAGATAAAACTAAAATTCACTAAAGGCCAATTAAGATAAACGTTGGTGATGATGGTTGGCAAACAAATCCCGTACAGTTACATTTTCCTTTCTTTCTGTAATTTTTGGCTATGCCCAAAGGGTATGGGTTTGTTAAAAAAATCAAAATTCTCAGCCATGAAGTTTCTGATGCAATTACACAACTAAATAACCCAGCTCCCGAATAAGATTCCAAATTCATTTTTCTATGCCTGAAACTCCCGGAAGAAGTTTTTACGTGAATTATGCAGATTTCAGCTTGGCAGACGTGGATGCAAGATGGGAAAGTGTCTTGTGCCCGAAAAACATCAAGAAGATTCCAAGTACGCCGAGTGCCTTCAATGTAGTGAACAAATCCAACTGCAAAGTAGAAAGAAGTACATGCTATTGGATCGAAATTTCAATTACACTTCCATTGGTAGAGTTTAAAAGAAAAATGAAACTAATTGAGGAATGAAGTGACAAGTTTTAGGACATTAGAGTACAAAGAAAAAATAACATAATAATACCTTGATCCAGAAGAGTGCGTAGAGTGTTAGAACTGCAGCAATACCCAAGTGGAAGAGAAGAGCAAAAGTTGCAGGAACAGTAGACTTGGGCAAATTCTTGAGGTTAGCACGAAGGTATACAAGCTGCAGGGGAAAAAAACAAAGCATACCCCTTTTAGCCTTAGCCTCATTTCATAAAATTGCATAATACGAAGTTCTACTTATCAAGGAAGAAGGATAAGATATAATTAGAAGGTTACCCCAGCCAAGAAGCCGAAAAACGGCAAGAGTACGAAGCCCAAGAAAGCAAGAGAAAGCTCTGTAGGGGGTCGTTTTTCTGGAGCTCGGAAAATGTGAGCTATCTCTGCCTTAGGTCCATATCTGGAGTATGGGTCAACAGGTTGTGCGGGAGGTTTGGGGGCTTTTTCGGGTGCCTCTGGAAGATCCAATTGAACGTGACCCAGAGCTTGCAAGAAAGAGTTTTCCTGAAAGTACACAAGAATAGAACTCAAGTTAAAACATGTGATGTGCGAACAAGACAGAAGTTCAGTAAAGGTGGTACTCTCAAAACTAAAGCATTATTACCATGACTGAGTCTCCAACCGTGAGTTGAATGTCATATCTTCCAGATAAATAGAAGAACTTCTCCACCAGACCCAAGAAATCCTACAATAAATATAAAGTTAATATATATGCATATATAGTTGCTAGGAAGTATACTCGATACGAATGAAAATTTTGAAGACAGTGTTGTGGATAGGAAATACAATATTGTTGGAACGATGATGAACTAAAATAATCAGAACATGAAGTTAAACAATAAAAAGTGCTTAGATGAGAGCATAAACTAACTCAAAAAGTTGAGAAAGTAAATGAGCACTTAACTAGAATTATCTCAGATTTTTTCCCCGAGTTCTCCACCAGGAAGATGTGTTCAACTCCACTTTCATGTCTAAGCTTGAGGAATGCCTGAATTGAAAAAATATAGTAATACATTATACATAAATGCTCACATATGACTGATAAAGAATATATTTACATGTGTAAGAAATATATTGGACCAACCTGGTGAGGCCTGAAAACATTTCCAAATGGGCTAGTCAAGCTATAGGATAACTTCAACTTCTGGAGATGATTAGCAGATAAAGCAAGAGAGTTCTCTCCTGATAAATCCAGCCTGGATAAAAATGAAAGAATTGTTAAAGCTTCCATGCTAAACATAAATTCCTAAAAAGTAAAGATTTTTGGATCATATATGATTAATTAGCAGGATCTGGAGAGGATGAGATTTAATTGGGAGCCAAGCAAGGAACGGTTAATCAGCTACCGGAAAATTAGACTAAGAGAGGAAAACACAAAAATGCCCCTATTCGGCTATTCCATAGAATTTCAAACAAAATATGAAACAAAGCAATGAAAGAATTGTTAAAGCGTCCATGCTAAACATAAATTCCTAAAAAGTGAAGATTTTGGGATCATATATGATTAATTAGCAGGATCTGGAGAGGATGAGATTTAATTGGGAGCCAAGCAAGGAACGGTTAATCAGCTACCGGAAAATTAGACTAAGAGAGGAAAACACAAAAATGCCCCTATTCGGCTATTCCATAGAATTTCAAACAAAATATGAAACAAAGCAATGAGTCATGGGAACCAGTGTTGATAACATAAGAAATTCTTCAATAGTTTGACAATATAACATTAAGAATAATTAACCAAAAAGTGAGAATTGACATAAGACATAGAATCCAGGGCGAGAACTATATAAGAAAAGGAAAAAAAAAAGGTATCCATTGATATAAATAGGTAAGGATGTACTTCTTCTTAGTCTCCACACTCTCAAGGTCACTGTCAAGTATTTCAATCTCTGCATTCTCGATCTTTATGGCTCCAGTCACATGAACAAGTACTTTAGTCCTCCCACCAGTAGCATAGTTTTTCTTATGTTCTGGATCCTCAAATACAATCTACCAATTGTGAAGTAGTGAAATCATTACATGACAGGAAAGGGAAGATTAATCAGAGAGAGGATAAAAAGGGGTGCGAAAAAAGGGAAAGTTAGATACCTCAAAAGAAAAGACATATTTTCCAACATCAACATTTGTAGGCAATGTTTCCAAGACATGCACTGCATTCTCAGGGTCAAATTTCAGCTTCTGCATTATGGAGCATCATCATTTCACATGCATTAAAATATTATGAATATAACCACCTACAATATAGAAATCTAGCTTCTTGCGCTGTCATATATAGAATAAATGGAGCACAACAGATACCTGGTCAATAATAGAAGCATCTTTAGAACCAGATACAAATATCTGCATGAGCTTCACTGACAGAGGCGGGGCAGGTGAACCCAACACAGTACTGACTCTAACCTGAAAAAACAAAGTGCTCGTGAGCTAGATAACTTGGACTGCACAAGCACAACATTCTGAGTAGAATCAATGAATTATAGAAACTTAGTATGTCTATTAAATAGTTTTATATCCAATAATTATGAGCAGGCAGCAATGAATTTGAAACATATCATATGGCATATGCAAGCTTAATCATAATTTTATTCTACACCGGTCAAAACCAATAGACCTAGACAAGAATCTTAAGGAAAATAAGTGGAAAAATATTATGTAATATAATGATTAATCAAATTTATTAGGGTAAAAGATTATCAGGATGGCAGACCTTAAGTTGATCTTTCTTGGTCACTGAAAGGACAGTAGCTGGCAGAGACAAAATCAGAGGAATTGATCCCCTGGAGAAAAAGGAGTGTTTTGAGTCATTTAGAACAGTAAAGCGTACAAATTTCAACAGGATCCACCACAAGTAAAGCATATCATATTGGAACATGAATTCAGAAAGTAACTTTAACAGAATAATGAGAGGCAGCAAATTGAGAGTGGGGAAGGTGAAATACAGAGAGAGTTTGATAAGAAAAAATAACTAGGACTTGCCTAATGTTTTCCAAGCATGCCAAGGCATGAATTTGATAATAAAAGTCTCGGGCACTTCCAGGAATTCCAACACCAAGGAAAAATTTGGCCAAACCCAAAATTTTCTCCCAGGGAAGCTGCAATTATGAAACTGCTAGATTCAGAAGCTCCCAAGGAAGATAAGTAACTAATGAAAAATACACACAAAACAAATTGAACAGCATACATTTAAACTTTCATTGGTCACTTCTGCAAAAGCTGTGATTCCACGGATTACTGATGCGGAAGCTGAAAGAGGACCCAGATGACTACGTGCATCAACAAGTTTCTCATCAAAGTAACAAGTTCCATCATCTAAATACACAAGAGAAGAAAGAAAATAAGGAGTTATTTTGTAGAACAATACAAACACAACAGCAGAGTTCAATCATTCCTTAACAATTCAGATACGACAAGACATAACCAGGGCCAGTTTTTTGCTAGTTATTTTGTTGGACTCAGCATATAGAATGAAAGATTAAGTACTGAAGATTAGAAAACAGGGTCATAACAAATGGTTATCTTGATTTGATTAAATAAAAATTGAACAAGAAAATTTCTTGTTATACAGGATATATATTAACCATAGATTAAAATGGGGACGCCACGGCGAGAGGCAACCGAGGCGAGTGTTAAACCGCCTCGCTACTGCCTGAGGCGGCCCCATTTCCGAGGCACCAACCTTAATCCGCCTCGGCTTGCCTTTTCGCGCGAGAGGCGTCTGTGATGCGCAGCTCAGCGCCTTTCTGTTTTAATAATAAAAAAACATGTTGTGCTTTTATTCGTGGAAAGAGAAGAAGTGAAATTAAAAAGAAAAGAAAGGGCTTGTCATTGAACAAAGAGTTTCACATGGCAGAAAACTAGGGTTTCATTCACCGGGCAAAATTACTCAAAAACCGACCCCCACTGAGCGCCACCATTCACCCCTGCTGCACCACTGCACCACAGCCACCAGCTACTTCGCGCTCCAGCCACCAGTGCTGTGCAGTCCATTTTTTTTAACTTTTCATTTAATTTATTATTTATCATTTTTTGTTTACCTTGTTTGTTTAATTTCTTAAACATAGTAATAGGTGTCTAATCTTTAGTTTATCAATTGAACAATTTATGTTTGTTAATTTCTGAATTTATTTTCGAAAATTATAACAACTACTATATTGCTATTTTTTGTTTACAATTTAATATTATAATCCATTTGATGTTATTCTTCTTGTTTGAACATAAACATAAATATATAATTGCAATCTACAATATTGTTTTTCTACATTTTGGTGATAATGTGTAGCCGAGGCCTCACCATGGCGAACCACCTCGCCTCGTGGCGAGGCCATGGGCTAATCGTCACACCATTCGCCATTTAAAACTATGATATTGATACAGTGGCATCAAATACAAATGACAGTTAGCACCAACCAAAATGTGAAACAGAAAAGTCTGATCAAGTAACTAGTCTTCCATCTGAAAAATTATACTACAAAAAGGAGGACATGCGAAGGACCTACCCAAAGTGATAACTTAGGCTTTTTGGTAGAGTATAATTGAGAATGGACTTCACATGTTAGAAATTGAGGGACACTTTCAGCACTCCACATAACTTCATTTACAACTGATACACCGTGTTAGCCTCTTATCTCGTGAAATAAGCAAGGAGCACAAATCCCTAATATTTACACATTTCAAACTTGAAAGTCGTACACTGATGTCTGGAGTAGAAATAAGAACATGTTTTACCCAGATAAAATATAAGAATTTAAAGTTTCTTTAACAAGTGGAGAGTAATTAATTAAAATAAGTGAACTCATTTGCTCATGTCCATACTGCATACTACTGTAGCAACTCTTGAAAACAAAAGGAGATTGCCATGCCAAAAGTAGCTCAGTTATAATAAAGATAATTGGTTTTTCTTTTACGACCAAAACACAGCCACCACACAGAAACAAACAGACTAACTATATATTACAAAAACAAAAAGGATTGTTGATTCTTTTTTCCTTGCAGTGATTATTTCCAAGTAATCACTAAATAGAGACCCCTATGCCACTAAAATCAAATACAGTAATTGATAGAGAAATTGCAAGAACGCTGAACCGTCGAGGAAAAAAAAAGGAGCAACATACCGTATCTTTCAATGCCATCAAAAAGCTTCCCAATGTCACTTTTCAGAGTAGCAATCTGGGATATGGTAAGCAGAATAGAATCAGAATACTTAATTTATGCCTTTCGGAAAACTGAAAAGTAAGTGAAATTAGCTGCCCAAGAGTTACTACGAAATAGAATCATCATAAAAATTAATACAATAATAATGATTCGTATCATGTCTCTCACACACACACACGAACACACATACACACAGACACACACATATTACATATTCTTGTAAGTAATCTCATAATATTCAAGCGGATGCATTTGGTGATTAGAGCAATCGATAATACTTTAAAATTAGGTATACACATCAGTAGAATGGTCAACAGTCGCAATATAAGTAAAAATGATGGAACAAATCAGCATCTCCATCACGAGGGGCAAGGTATATGGAACTTTCAGGTTGATACCCTCAGGACAATTGCATCATTCATTTGTCTTCAACGTTAATATGAAGGTAGGGTAAAAGAAATACTGATTTCATCAATTTCCATCACAATACGTTGGTAATAAAAAAAGATATCACTCACCAGAGAATGATCAATCTCAGAAGATGCTAAAGAAATTACCCCAGCAAGGGTTTCAAGTGCTATACCTGCAAAACCAAATTACAAGGTAAGCAGCAATTAAGAAACAAGTCAAAATGAATAAAACAACTTGTTGTGCCGAAACATAAAGGAAGAAAGTAAGTAATCAGCTAAAATGCAACGGTGTCTTTTGTTGTTACTAATTAGCATGGGTAACTTAAAATATAGAAGTGTGATATTACCCGCAGCATCACTACTAGATTCTGGGTTGTTGGAACTAATGCGCCACCTACCATCACTCTGACTTAGAGACTGGAAAGCATCGGCAACATATTATGCATTTTGAAATATTACAGAGTTAGGTTTGGCAAACAGCAAATTAATCTGTCAAAATATGCAACGAATCCTGAGTTTACCTTAATAGAGCGAAATATCTTATCAGCATCATTAAGGTGAACATCAACTTCAGAAGTCTGATCCTGATTTTCAGATGAACAAGATAAGAAGCTCAAACTCATCGCACCAAAAATAAATGCTTAATCCAAACAAAAATTAAAACAGAAGTCAACATGGAAATTAGTCAAACTACAAATCAAATAAAATAAAAAAATGAAACTTGCAACAGATGCTTCACCTAATAGCTACAAATGGATAAAAATATCATTGAGCAAACTTATGTTCACACTAAGGCCGCAAACGAGTCGAGCAGCTCGCGAGCCACTCGCGAGCGCTCGAGTCAAAGCTCAGCTCGAGCTCGAGTTTGACCAAACTCGAGTCGACGGCTCGAGTTTGACCGAACTCGATTCGAGCTTGAGCCCATATTTTACATTGTCGAACGGCTCGCGAGCGGCTCGAGATATATGAAATTACTAAAATACCCTTGTATATATATGTATTTAATGGTTATTTTACAAAATTTCTTGAAAAAATTCGAACCGAACTCGAGCCGAGCTCGAGCATTTTGAATTCGAGTCGAGCTCGAGCCGAGCTCGAGCTCTTCTATTTTTTTATCGAGTCGAGCTCGAGCCTCATAAATCGAGCTCGAGCAGCTAAAAAAAATTCAATCCTGCTCGATAAGGCCAATGCTCGACTCGGCTCGGCTCGTTTGCAGCCCTAGTTCACACATTACAAAAATTCCCGTCGCGGACTACTTATCTTAATTCCGAGAGAACTTTTTTTTTTTAAAAAACGGAATCCCATTGAAATATAGGATGAGATGAAATTTAAGAGATCATATTGAATGAAAGCATGGTACCTTCAACAGGACTAGACCTCCTACTGAATAGTAATAATCAAGAAGTGAATTCGCAACATTCAGAGAATCTTGAAGTCTAGATTCAACTCCCTGCAGTGAAAGAAAGATATTTGGGTAAAATACATTTTCCATGTGAAGAGGAGGAGATGTCAAACAAAAAACATTGATAAGAAGAGCATAAATTTGAATACCCTAAAAGCCTCATTCTTGAGCTCACACTTCAGTAGGCCATTGACGCTAAGAGCATGGAATAAATCCTTCACAGCCGACGAAGCAGACAATAGGGTGCTCGCTACAGATGCACATGCAGAAGTTTTAACATCAGACTTCTTTTCAATCCCAAGAATCTCAAATGTCTTTAATGCCTCGTACGTATCCTCCAGACTGGAAACAGTAGCAACCACGTGACAAAGCCAACTCTCTTAATTACACAAATTTGTTATAAATCAACTTCATTAAATACCATAAGGCACCAACGACAAAATTATTGAGCAAATAATGCCATTCATTCAGCACCAAACAAAGAGTTAAAGAAATGCTTCGCTACTTATAGTATCCACTTCTTTTTCGAAACTGTTCTTACAAGAAGCTTGAACAACCATAGAAGTATGTAGGATAATCAGCACAATGCAAACACAGCCCTCACTGAACTTCGATGGTAAATTCCCATACTTAACAGAAAATTATACATAAGTCACAAGAAAAACCACCAGCTGCACAGAGGAGCAATAATTGCTGGATGAAAGGAAGGAAGGCAGACGGAAAATTCAACCAAACTAGCTTAAAACTCCCTAAGCCCAAAGTTCACAAAAAAACGATTTTCGGGTTTTTCATTAGCACTGCAGCAGTAACCAACTAACCACATTTCATGGTTTCGCAATCATCCAAAACAACAGATCTCGTTAATCACCACTACCAAAGAAGTACAGAACTAGCTCGAAATTCCCCCTTTACAAACACGACCACAACGCAGCTAAATTTTGTCCAGTTAAAAAAGATACAACATTTCGAAAACAATCACCTTCCAAAAGACCCATCGGCGGCATTAAAAATCTCCAACGCCGCAGATCGATGGAGTTCAGACACCGGACCGAAGGCGGCCGATTCACATCTCCACGCCAAAACCAAAAACGCCACAACCAGAAATCCAAAATTCGGCGCCATGCCTGGAAAAATTATAGGCTAATTCAAGGATGATCAATGAACATAAACCCTATTACCAAAATGTAAGAGGGGGAAAGAATCTACAGAGAACGCTTACTTACTGTAGAGAAGAATTTGTGAGTCTTCGTTTCCAGTGACTGAGCTCACAGTTCTGAGGTTGGCTGTTTCAAGAGAGACCAAAGTCTACGAAGCGTGACGTATTGCACATTTCCGATTATGCCCCCGCTCTGTAAACGGGCTTTTATGTGGGCCGACCCAGAACTTAACATTGGGCTTTATTCAGGTTCACATTTTTATGAAAACTGAAAGTTGGCCCAATGGCAACTCAAAGCTGGTTAGGTGTAACAATTATAATTGGTTTGTAATTGGGAAGGAACAAAAAAGGGCAGGAGGAAAAGTGAACTCAGATAGTAAAACAATTGATTTTTTAATAGTTTAATTAA